ACTATGTGCCTCGCCAAGCAGAACTTTCAAGGATAAAGGGATTCCTAACTAATGCTGTTCAAAATAACTTGCTATAGATCTTCCTGTCATTACCTAAATAACATCATCATGCATCTTAACAACATTTAGCAATCACTTAAGGCTTTGAGAGCTTGCAACAAGAATCAACTGAATAAATTATAAATATACAATTAAAGATTGAAATTATAACAGGAATATTTGCTATCCAGACTTCTCTTCCTCTCTAAAGCCGTTCGCACTTCCCAGACATGGATGTGCTCTTAGTGCTTATTCTCTATTCATTAAAATGTGTTCACATGAGAGCAGCGGGATATTGCTAACTGACCCTCCACAGAGTATTTGTTCATCTACTTGGGGGCTTTTGGATTAAAAAGATAAATAAGCAAAAGAACCTAATAAAAGCAAATAAATGAAGATGCCTTGATTTAGTAGGCAATCAACTAGCGTTTACTGACTCTTACCTGCTCACTCCTCCTCCCACTAAGAATTCCTTCACTAACCAGTCTGGATACGTGAAATCATAGATCTTTCTATGCCAAATTAACTGACTCACACAAGGTGCAAACATCATGCCTTGGTGACTGTAAAGTCAGGAATGGCCACAGTGCAGGTTTTCTGATCCCATGCAGACCGGGTAAAAGAGGAGTCAGAGTCCTCAGTGGTTTTTTGCAGGTCTTTTATTGGGGTTCAGCGGGTACATGGCAGGCAGGGGTGCTGGGGGGCCGGGAGGCTGGCAGTACTCCCAGCCCCCAGCAAACCCTCACTCTATCTGGGCTCTCTGGCGTTCTCTGCTTCTGCTTCTGCTTCTTCTCGGCTTCTCTCTTGGCTTCTCTTTTCGGCTTCTGCTGCTGCTGCTGGCGTCCCTGTGACGCCGCCCTTAAAAAGCACAGTCTTAGCTTAGCTGAATCCCATCTACCTATGCCCACACCCTATTCCAGGTGTCCGCCATCAGGCATGCATTCAGGACTAGGATCCATCATCTATCCTGATGGCGGAAGGGCAGAAAAGCCTGATATTTTCTTTACCCTACAGTGATGCGCACCAACAGTGAAAAGCATGTAGACTGAGTTTTGAAATACAAAAGCTAAGTTTGTCCTCACTTCCTCCTCTCCCCCCAGAAGATCTTGTCTTCCTTAATATTTTTTTTTAATTAATAAATTTTATTTTTATATTCCCCATACAATTGCAATCCCCCCATTCTGACCCCAATCCCTCCCCTCCCGCCCCCACCCCCCAAAAAGTGTCTCTGGTTCATAGTTTTTGTTGATTTTGATTTTCACTTTCTTATAGTTATTCATTTTCCTGGTCCCTTATTTAAGTTTTCTAGATCCCTGCTATGAGTGAGACCATCCGGTATTTTTCTTTTTCTTTTTGGCTTATTTCACTGAGCATGATCCCTTCCAGCGTCATCCATGTTGCTGCAAATTGCATGTGTTTATCTTTTTTGAATGCTGAGTAATATTCCGTGGTATATATGTACCACATCTTCTTGATCCAGTCATCTATTTTTGGGCATTTGGGCTGTTTCCAAAGCTTAGCTATTGTAAACAGTGCTGCTATAAACATGGGGGTGCAGGTGTTCTTTGGAATTGATGTTTCTGTGTTCTTTGGGTAAATACCTAGGAGTGGAATTGCTGGATCCTGTGGATGTCTTCCTTAATATTTAACAGAAATCAAATAATAAGGAGGTGTAGGGTAAAGAAAATGTCAGGCTTTTCTGCCCTTCCGCCATCAGGATAGATGATGGATCCTTGTCCTGAATGCATGCCTGATGGCGGGCACCTGGAATAGGGTGTGGGCATAGGTAGATGGGATTCAGCTGAGTTAAGACTGTGCTTTTAAGGGCGGCGTCACGGGGGGACGCCAGCAGCACCAGCACCAGCAGCAGCAGCAGCCTCAGCCGAAGCCGAGAAGCAGCAGAACGAACGCTAGAGAGCCCAGATAGAGTGAGGACTTGCTGGGGGCTGGGAGGCCTGCCAGCCTCCCAGCCCCCCAGCCAGCACCCCTGCCTGCCATATGCCTGGTGAACCCCAAATAAAAAAACCTGCAAAACTACTGAGGACTCTGACTCCTCCTTTACCCGATCTGCATGGGATCAGAAAACCTGCACTCTGCCAATTCCTGCCTTTACAATTGGCGTAAGTCGGCAAGATCCATGCAGACGGGTATTGGAGCCCTCCAAAGGCCTGGAGGGACTAAGGAGTAAAAGACTGCCTGTGACGACGCTGGAGGCGCCATGGCGGTACAGAAGATGGATACGTCCACGAGCTACAGGATGAGACCTGGCGTGAAGGAGACGCCCGAAAGGACCAGCCAACGACACCGGAAAGGACCAGCCAACGACACCGGATAGGACCAGCCAACGACACCGGAAAGGACCAGCCAATGACCCCTGAGGCAGCAGGCCATTGCTGACGCAGGGAGAGGCCAATGGACTTGAACTGATGAACTGATGATTTTGGACTGACAATCCCGCCAGAAGGCGGAGGACCTTAGCAGGTTATCTTTATTTTTTGAGAATCTGGGGGTGGCCAGTGGGCCTAGATGGCCAAAAGCACCCTGTGTATGCCCAGTGGCCAGGTGGAGGAGAAAAGCCAACTAAGGTGGCAAAAGCTGGTACTGATGCTAAGTTGAGAAGCCCTAAAGCGGCTGTTAAGCAGCCTGGGTATGCTGAAGCCCTGTGAATCTCGTAAAATCACCTATGGGTGATGCCCTGCTCATTCTTGAGTGAGGGTGAGGAGCTGAGGAGCCCGTCCTTGGGGGACGGGTGGGGAATGTGGCTTGGGGTGGAGCCCAAGCCAAATGCAAAGTTTGGATCCCCAACCCATGTGCTTGTGCAGTGGGTTGGCTTGAGAGCAGGGGTCTGTGAGTCGCATGGGTGGCTGTGAAGGCCGAGTGTTGGAGCGACTGCAGACAGAAACCCTGAGGGTTGGCGATTACCCCCAACAGAATAAAATTGCCAATCCCAGAGCTAGTGCATCCTGGGGGTGGATGCTGTGTGTGCCTTGTAGCCGAGACTACAGCCAGAGAAGGCCAGGAAGCCTGACGGCTCCTGGTGTGATATAGTAGATGCCGTGAGTGGTTCCCCTCCCTCGTATGAGCAGTGCCTTCGGCAGCAGATTTGGTGGCTCATCTGCTGGTACCAATAATTGTCTTTTGCACTTGGTTGGTGCCCTGCCTGGACTTATTTGTGTTCTGTTGTATTTTGTTATATTGTATTTTGTTATATTTGATGTATTTGCTTTTGTGGGCCATGGCTGCATTGTTTGTTTGCTTAGAAAATTGTATATGTATATGTATAGACTGTATGGCAGAAAACCCTGAGGGGGTGGACTGTAGGGTAAAGAAAATGTCAGGCTTTTCTGCCCTTCCGCCATCAGGATAGATGATGGATCCTTGTCCTGAATGCATGCCTGATGGCGGGCACCTGGAATAGGGTGTGGGCATAGGTAGATGGGATTCAGCTGAGTTAAGACTGTGCTTTTAAGGGCGGCGTCACGGGGGGACGCCAGCAGCACCAGCACCAGCACCAGCAGCAGCCTCAGCCGAAGCCGAGAAGCAGCAGAACGAACGCTAGAGAGCCCAGATAGAGTGAGGACTTGCTGGGGGCTGGGAGGCCTGCCAGCCTCCCAGCCCCCCAGCCAGCACCCCTGCCTGCCATATGCCTGGTGAACCCCAAATAAAAAAACCTGCAAAACTACTGAGGACTCTGACTCCTCCTTTACCCGATCTGCATGGGATCAGAAAACCTGTACTGTGCCCGTTCCTGCCTCTACAGGAGGCTACTTTGAAGTTATTTGGGTCCTTGGGGTCTACATGAGGGCCAAATCCTACTTATCATTCAACATATTTAATCAACTGTTATCCATGAAAGCTACATATTTTCTTATCCTATTTTTGACTTTGTTTTATGGTTCAGCCCATGAAACCCGTAAAATCCCAGAACTTTCTCCTTTCCCTTTCTTGATTTACAAAGAGAAGGTTGCAAGGAACTGAGGGCGGAGTTAAGCCACTATGTTCTCTGTTTGGGTATTGAACTGGCTGATGTGATGTGGGTCTCTCTCTTGGCCACGCAGTGCACTTGGCCTTTCACCAGCTCAGCAGATCATTGGGATTCCAGGTCAGGGGAACGGGTAGGACGCATTTATGAACTTATCTTCCTCTTTTTCTCCCTGAGTTATTCATTTCCCCTTCCCTTGTAAATAAACCTTTTATCAACCTTTTGTGTGTGTTTGCAGTTTAGCAGTCATAAGTCCCTTTAAGCACCCAGGTGAGGACCCACAATCAGGCAACTCGTTTTATATCGAGGTTGCTCTGTAACAGATTGGGTGAAAGAGATTTGGGTGAGAGACCGATGGGGAGGCCAACATTGGCAACTTTTATCTTAATTTTAATTTTGCTCTTTTCCTTTTAGACTTGTCTGACTGCTTCTGACCCTTTTCTATGGGTCCCTGCCAGTAGGTGCTTTAGACTTGTGCACAGCTTTCAGGCCTTGCTTTGGACTCAACCTGTTTGGTGGGACATTTACCCACAAGGGGATGGGTAACTTTGGATGCTTGATTTGGAAACTATCTTCTTTGACTTTTCTGTGTTGCACACTAATTGTATTGAAGTTCCTTTCCATGAAAGGTTTATGTGTTTTGTCTTAATGCAGTGGATGGCAGAACTTAGGGCAGGCAGGTTTTGGGGGTTCTGTGCTACCCCTCTCCCTGCCCTGTAAGTCAAGGTCACCTGTGCTATCTTCTTCTAAGAATGGGTCGCTAGTGGAGAAGTCAAGGGTATGTGCTTGATTCTGTTTGTCTGCCAGAGCTGATTTAGTTGCAAAAAAGAAATCGAAACCTTGTGAAGCCCTCCTCTCTTTCAGAAAGTTGTGTTTTTTTTTTTTTTTTTTTTGCTAAGAACAGGAAATCCCAGCCCCCAGCCCACCCAAACCACTGCTGAAGCAGCAGAGAGGCAGAAGAACCCAGGTCTGACTTGAAATGGCAAACTGCCTTAAGACCACCCTGGAGAACTTTCCCACATTGCTGAAGCACCTCAGAAAGCTGGAATATGGCTTGGTGAGCCTGCTGACCGCAGGCGGAGAGCGCATCTTCTCCACTGCAATATTCCAATGCCCCTGCCACCCCACCTGGAACCTGCCCTATGGCATGGTCTTCCTGCTGGTGCCTGCGCTTGGGCTCTTCCTCCTGGGCTATGTGCTGAACACACGCACCTGGCTCCTGACAACCGGCTGCTGCAGGCTGCGGGACTGCAGCCAGAGGGAGCCACAGCAGGAAGAAGAGCCACAGCAGGAAGAAGTTCCAGCCACAGCTGGAAGGAGCCACACCTGTGGGAGCCACAGCTGGAAGGAGTTCCTGTGGATCAGCGCCACCGCCTTGGTCGCCCCGCTCACCTGGGTGGCTGTGGGGCTGCTCGGGGGCACTTTTTACGAGTGCTCCGCCAGCGGGATCGCCTACTTAGGGGGGCTCTTGTGCCTTGGCCGCAAAGATAACTGCTCCACGTTGATGCCCAAGTTGCCCTGTCTGCGGAACCCAGAGCCGGACCAGCAGGACCTCCTGAACGCACTCCAGGCCCACTCGCAGGTCGGGAGCTGGTGGGAGGAGTGGAGGGGACGGGCTTCAGGAGATGGGGTGCGAGGCTGACCTGTGAGGCAAAATGGTGCCTTTTCTCCAGGTATAAGGCACCTGAAGACAAACTCGGAGAGTTACTTTCTTCTACTGAGTCGAAAGGCGAAAATCTTTAAATAAAATGAAGGAAAAGGAGGAAAGGTACCTGTGCGGCGTGAGGATGTGCCAGAGAGCCCGTTAAGTCCTTTTCTTACCGACCTGAGCTGGATAGTGGCTAGCGGCTCAGAAAGCCAAAGACTGAACCACTGGGTGATTTTGCAAAGGAAGTTTTATGCCTGGTAGCCGGGACCATGGCAGAGCAAGGTGTTCTTAGAAAGCCTTCCCCTCTGCTGCCATTTGAAAGAGTATGTAAAGAAGGCATGAGGGGCTTCTGGTGCAGGGGAAGCAACAACTGGCCTAGTTTGCTGTTGACATTTTCACTCTGGAAGGCTTCTTTGTTCTTTAACTGGCCTGAACGACCCCTAGATGGTTTCAGTGAGCTTAAAAGCATTGTAGTAGGGCTGGGGGTGGGGAGTGTGAGTAGCCCTACACTTTGCCTCCTGAATCTTCTCACAGCCACAGGAGAGAATACAAGGAGTCAGCCAGAAGGTAGAATTATTACAGTGAAGTGGGTCTGCATGTAAAGCCACCGTCCCTCACTGCTTGTGGGAGTTTGAAGCGCAATGCTTGTTTCACTGGATTTGCCAAAATTGCATATTTGGAATTCCAGGTCTCCCTGGGTTTTTTCAATGACTTGGAATAGAATTGATTCATCTAGCAATCAGCTGTATGAAGAAAGGAGTTCTGGAGGTCATGCTGCTCCTATTTCTTAAGGGATTAAGACATAATTAGCTGGGGACTAACTCAAACTTTATATAGATATAGATATAACTAAACTGCTCTTCTGTTTTGTTTTCTTAAGGTGGCTGGCTGGATCCTGATAGCTGTGGTTATCCTCATTCTAATGATTGGTACATCTATTAACTATTGCAGATCTTCAGTTAGTTTTATGCAGCTGAAATTTAGAACCGAGTATGTGATTGAGGAGCAGAAGAGCCTTACAATAGAAACCAGAAAGAATGCAGCTAAATTGGCAAATGAGAATGTTAAATTTTTCTTTAAGGGCTCAAGTCCACATCATGAGACCCCAAGTGCTAAAGACTGGAAGAAGATTTCCAGTCCTTTGCATTCAAAGGAGCCATACTATAGCCCGTTGCACAAATATGTTAACACTAGAAGGAAGGTTGAAATGGCTTCTACTTCTAATGTTGTAGAGGCACAAGTTAAAGACAGCACTGTGTGACCTTATGAATGAATGGGAAAAAAAGTTCTTTTGAGCTTCATTTGAAAAATATTCTGTTTTGTTGATGACTGCTTTTTTTTTAAGGCTTCCAAACTGTGAAAACATAAGTATATATTTGAAATAAAAATTTAGAATTTTACCTGGCATTTTGTGGCTCCAGAGTGGTTATTAATCAAAAATAGGAAAATTAATCATGAATATTTTTAAAAATTAAAAAACTAGTTTAAGATAATTACAGGCGAAACCTATTATTTTTAGTTTGTAGGATCAAGGGAAAATTTAAAGATGTTTATTACAGTAAATTTCAAATATGCCCCCAAAGAGAAAGGATGCTCTTATGAATTCCTGTGTGGTCATTACACAGCATCATGTGGGGACGTCAGATAAAACCCATTCTGCACAAATAAATATAGAAATAGAAATTGTGACCTGATTCACAGTACGGTAGAAGGATGTTGGGGAAGTCTGTGAAAAGCTGATCTCTGTAGAGTACAGCATATTAGGGACAGTATGTGTGACTGAGTGGGAAACTTTAAAGGTGACTAGAAAACGGAGCAGGAGACAAATGGTCATGCACGGGATATTGGTTTTCATCCTATGACCATTTTAGGAAGATTGATCTGCTTTTCCTGTGGGGAAGGGATGAGGGGGAAGAGAGAAAACCAAGACACAATGGAGAGACTAACCAGGAGGCCACAGCAGTGGAAATAGGTAAGAGTGAAACTTGAACTGGTTTGCTGGTGATGAAAATGGAAAAAGTAGAGATATTCAAGGTAGCTTAGGAAGTTAGTCATTATGCAATTTGTTGGTGGAAAGGATGCAATTAATTTAATGAGAACAATGATTTCTGTAGAAAAAAATCTGTTGCTTGATAATTTGAGGATCTCAGGGGATATTAGATTGTCATTCTTGTTCATCCCCCAAGTTTATGGCACTTTCTGTGTTTTTTTTTTAAAAAACAATATACCTCATGCTTATCATGGTACTTGGCTGAATTACCAGGTATAAGTCCCCTTGCCTGTCTCTTTTCGTCCCTTCAGGAAACTAAGCAATAATGAAATGCATAGACTGGGTGGTTTATAAACAGCAAAAATTTATTTCTCACCATTTTGGAAGCTGGGAAGTCCAGCTTCCAAAGTCAAGTCATCAGGGTGAAGTCTGCCAATCCCTACTTCCTAGATGATTGTCTTTTCATTGTAATTACAGAAGGTGGCAGGGGTGAGAGATCTCTGTAGAGCCTCTTTTACAAGGCACTATTCCCATTTATGAGGGCTCTGTCCTCATGACCTAAACACTTCCCAAAGGCCCCATGCCCGAATATCATCACATTGGGATTAGGTTTCAACATTAAGAATTTGGAGGGGACACAAATATCAGTCCATATCACTGTCACTCAAAGTCCTTAAACTCTACCTTCTCCCCATTCCATCCTAGCCTGCCTTACTTTTCAGTATTATCCAATATATAATTTCTAATTTAATCAAGCTTTGTAGCCTCTCTACCATACCAATTAAACATGAAAGTCTCAGTCACAAGTTTTCTATCAATTGATTCTCTTTTCTGTTATTATCCCATGTTCTTTTTTGGGATTTGGTTTTGCCCTACTTAAACTTTATTTTTTTTAAAGATTTCTTTATTTTTATGCATACAAGAGCTTGGGTGCAGGCCAGAGATGCAGAGGGGTGAGAGGATTCACCAGAGACAGAGTGGGGAACAGAACAGGCAGACTGACTGAAATACCCTGCTGAGGGTAGCAACAGGAGAGACAGGAGAGGTCTGCCACACCATGTGGCTATCTCCCCGGCTAGCCAGGATCCATCCCATGCTGAAGAGGTTGTGAACACACAGTGGTGTGCTTTAACCCCTTGTAGCACCAGGGAGGGCCCCTACTTACACTTTAATAGTTAATTTGTAACTGTGTCTTGGAAGCTGTCAGAAGAGATGAAATTTCTGGACCAATGACAAAACTGTATTAATCACAGCAGAGTAAACAGCAAGAGCAGCATGTTTGCTCTGGTTCCCTTTACCCTCTAAACCTACAGGATATGTACTTACTGGGTGGGCTGCATTATTGGAGAGAACACAGAGCATCATCACCACCATTTTATAGGCAATAGTAATCAAGCTTATGCTTTGTCCAAGATTATTTTAGCTGTCCAGATTGCTGACTGCAATTACATCCCTGAGAAATGCCCTGGGTTAAAAGCAGTCATGATATTGCATTTATGGCCCACTCTTAACATATAAAAGTATGAGAGACCATGGAAGATATTCTCTCAACACATATTTTCCATCTTTCAAGCCACATTTCAAGCCATCTTTCCTCCTCAATACCTTTCCCAACTACATCAATCCACAGCAACTTCTTCCTTCTCTCAACACTTATGACTTGATGTCTCAAATTCACTATAGAACTACATCATGTATCTCTTTGTAATGAAAACTATGTGTTTTCTCTTCCTAGCATGATTTTATGCCTTCTAGAGACTTTAAAAAAAAAATCTCATAATTGCCACAAAGCAAACAATAAAAATCAAGAAATAAATGAGGAAGATTAAATATTTACTATATAATTTATTAAGAAGAAAAATTTTGAAAGTATGACAAATGATTTTCAAAATTTTAATTACAAGGTATGTAAACATACATAATAAATCCATAATCAGAGGCTCCATTTTGGCAAATGTATTATCATTAAGAACTGAGACTTGAGGCCATATTTTATAAGTCAGCTGATTTATTTTGTTACTTGTGCAACTTTTGTGCATGGCATTCCATTCCATAAAGGCAGATCATGGCATAGGAAAAACAATTATAAAAATATATTCATTATTTTTCCTACATACATAGAGAAACAAAATTTAAAGGACCAAAGTGATTTTTTTATCATGGAGTACTAGGAATACCAATTTTTTACAGAATATTTTGGGAAACAGTATTTAGATAATCAGAGGCAGATGGAAAATCAACTGTTGTCTGGCTTACTTCTCAATATTCCTAAATCACGTTGTCTATTGAAAAAAAGTAATAGACCCCATCTGAAACATGCTCAAGCTGAGGGGCCACTTATTTCAATGACTGAGCAAGTAAATGGATTCATAGGGGATTCATTAAACCATGATTTATTTCATGGAGACCAGATCATCATGTATCTAGGTGTCTTTAAAGATACTTAAAAGTGCTTGGAGAAAGGGCACTACATTATATCAAAAACAAATGTTTTTCCTCTAAAAAATCAAAGTAGTTCTAACTCCTTCTTCATTTCCCAGAGCTGCTCAAGATTTTTTTTTATTTCAAAAAATAACTTTTGTTTATATTATTAATATTTTAAATAATTCTTACTTCATTTTTCATTTTGCAGAATGTATGCATTTTCATTTTTGTTATATTCCCCTTATAATGCACCCCCCTTATTTTGACCCTAATCTTTCCTCTCCTCTCCACCCCCTGCCCTGTATTGTGTATTTGGTTTATAGTTGCTTATTGATTTTGATTTTTTCTTTATCAGTTATTTCTTGATGAGACAACTGTTCCTATTAAATTCATAGGCAATCTAAGATTAATGAGTCCACATATTTTAAACTTTAAATCTGCTTGCCTCTATTCTTAACAATTGAATGCCACAATTTTTCCAATCCTGTAAGCACACTTATCCCAACAAGAGGTCAACTCTCCTCACAGATGTTTGATGAAACTCTGTAATAAATTTTATTTTCTTAAATCTAATCCTTCATTCCAGGTCTTCTGTATTTCCACTCTACTTAGAGCTCTAACACAATTTGTGCTTACTAAAAATACTGCTTGGTAAATATGATTGTTGTTGGTGAGAGACTCCTGGAAAAGATATCTCTGGCTAAAATGATTGGTTTGAAAGTATATATTCAACCACAATAAAAAACAAAAACAAAGGGATCTTTTTTAGTGGTATAAAGCAAACAGAAAGCAGGAGAGAAGGAAAAGGCAGCAAAAGTTTTGGAAGTTGGAAAGCAGATGGTAAATGATAATTTTCCTAATATATTTGAGAAATATGAATCTCAAGCTAGAAGGAGAAAGATAAGTAACATGACTTGGATCATAAAATCTATAAAAGATTCAGGAATTAGTGGCACTAGTGTCTTCCAGAAATGAGACTGGAGGTGGAGCTCAAAACAGGATTGGTTGAAAACTTGTTTAAGAATTGGTATCCAGAACTCTGTCCCTACTCCAAGTAATTGGGTAATAGCTTCTTCCTACCCAGTAAATAGATGTGGGGAACAGTGCAGGCAGAAGGACCAAAGTACACCGCTGAGGGGAGCAGTGGGCACAGGAGAGGTCTGCGTGCCATGTGGGACCCTCCCTCTGGTGGACGGGGAGCAGCCGGGGATCGAACAGGCGCTGCAGAGGCTGCGGGCAGATTTGCAACCCAGCACTCAACCGCTGCGCCACCGGGGAGGCCCAATAAATAAATATATTTATAAATTGGAGTTTTAAACTCTAGATGTAATTTTCCAAAAAGGTTTCTGAATGAAAGGACATTAGGCATAGCTGAAGGCAGGCACACTGTGTTACTCAAAGGTGAATTAGTTGACATATACATAGTGAATTTTCATTTCTCCAGTCTTGTTACCCAATCTGACTTCCAGAATTCTACATCCAGACTATATTCTCCAAGCAGAATATCAGAAGAGCCACAGCTAACAAATCTGACTGCCCAAGAAAAGAGCTTTCAAAAAGAAACTGAAATAGAAGTTGAATAAATTGACTTGTATTTATTTCAGTATGTGTTCTGTATGTACTCTATTTTGTACTGTATGGGGTTATTCTTTCATTTATATATAGATAAATCTATAATAAATTATCAATAAAATTGTACCCATATCATTTATCCATTCATGAAGGTAAATTTAGATAATGCACATATTTTCAATTAAATAATTGTTAATCATAATTTAGCAATGGTTTGTGCCTCCGGTTGAAAAAACAAGAACTTAGAGTAAATCCTTCCACAGTAGGAAAAAATC